CAGCAGCTCAAAAGCTCAGAATCTTCTGCAATGTCAGCCTGATGAAGTCACCAAGCAAAGCAGTGTCTCACAGCAAAGCACAAATGCTCAGCACAGTGGGTGAGGAGCACACACAGGTGATCCAAATAACAATATGAGCTTGAACAGCCAAGTGGAAGCTTCTATAAAGCCAACACAAACTGCCCCAGAAAGGAGCAGTAAGACATACACAGCTTGGGGAAGGCAAGTGAAGAAATGCAGGACTTTCACAAGAGAAAATACTTGAGCCTTTCACAAGCCAGTGAAACAGGACTGGAACATGAGTGGAAAATTTCTGGTGTGACTGCAGAAATCTAAGGAAAAGCAGGACATTCACAGAACACTGCAGCCTCCTGTGTTGCTCTGAGGAGGGAGCAGGGACAGAGAAGGGACTTGCAGCAGAAAGGCAGATCTTATGCATTCTGAGGACAGCTGCTCAGTAAGACAGCTCAAGGGGAAACTCAGCTGAACATGCACACAAGCACTCAGAAGAACAGTTATTAAAGTCACTAGAGAAAAGAGGCAACATACTGAGAATTAGAAGCCAGGAGTTAAGTGAGAATAAAAAAAGAGAACAGCAAGACATCAGAACATTCCTGTGATTCATTTTCTGGAACACACGACGTGTTAGAAAACTCTGACCCGAAGATGGTCCTCAGAAAGATTCTTACGCTCTGTTCTCTTCCTCACAATTCAGATCTCATACTTAAAGGTCAGAAACCTACTAAGATGAGAACTAAAGAGGGCTGTTGGCTGCTGACTCTTTCATTGTTGGGGCATTCTGGCCGCTCCTGCATTCAGTGGAATTTTCCTGCCAAGCAACACGCTTCAGTATTTGCCAACCAAGATGATGGTTAAACAGGAATTGGTGCACGGTGTTGCAGTGCACACAAAAACACTCTGATCAGGATAAGACCACTAACAACCTCCTTGGTGGTTAATACTTAAAAAGAGACAGAAAAACAGAAGGTTATTCTGTCGTTTTTGTTGGTTAGTATCAGCCACAAGAGCAAGAACTTCATTCCACTGCATTGGTGAATAATACAACACAAATATTCATGCATTTTTATATATCAACAAGCTTATTCTTGCTGCATTCACACAGTCTCTCTCAGGAGATAAGCAGGAAATAGACTTCAACCTCCAGCATGTTTGTTTTACACTGAAGATCCTTTATCAGCAGGGTTCAAACCAAGGAGCACTAAATCCACTGATAAGCAGCAGCATTCTGAAGTGGAGTTCTTTACGACTAGGATTTTATGCATTAAAAATAACAATCAGAAATAACCATTTCCACTGGAATGCTACAGAACAGAACCTGCAAAGGAGAAATCATTCTGGAGAAAGAGAAACTTTTTTTGAAGGAAAAAGCAAGTTGGATTTTTAATCTGCTTCTCATCTATCCACATTTCCCCCTCCCTCCCCCCCCCATACACACACTAATATTCTTGCAGTGTTGTGTCTGACTGGAGCAACAGCTGAGTCAATAATTCAGCCTGTCTCTAAAACCTCTCATCATATATCAGCTGAGGGGGGAAAAAAAAAAAAAGAAAAAGGCTCTGTACCATCTCCAAACCAATTTGGCAGCTGGAACTCTACTGAGAGAGTGTGTGGGAGAATGCAGCAACAAAGCTTACTAGCAGGGTAGCTGTTAAATTCTCCATGCTGGCAGCACAGAGAGGGTGACAGGTTTTAAATAACCAGGATATCCTGTCCCCAGTCCCTACTGTTGACACAGCTGGCCATGTCTGAGTGTGTACTACAAATACTGCAGCATGCCCAACCAAAACTGCAATGGCGAGAGCGGCAGGTTAGATTAAGGCCCACAGTCTGTCCCTAGAACAATTTCCACTGGCACACCACCAATACTGTCCCTGCCTGCCTTCCACCAGTTCTATTTCCACCCAGTATTTTCTGTACATCTGGCTTTTCACCCATGGATCGTATTTTTAAGTGAGATCTTATGGTCCAGGTAGAACCAAAGTACTCTGGAGTTCTGACTTGTGACTCCTTCTCTGACCTCCAAGCAACGCTTCACTTTATAGAAGAGAAGCAAACTGGATGCTGAAGATACAGCTTCCTGTCACCACCCACAACAAGGCTACCAGAAAAGCCTTGGTTCATTGTGCAGCAGAGAGGATTTTTGCCTTCGTCTCACTATAAATGACTTACTGCTGCCTCCAAGACTTCTTCAAAGGGCTAGAGGCAACCCAGAACTTTCTAAAATTTCTCCTACAAACCTGGAACACTGAAGTTAATCAGCTGACAACATTACCTCCATGCTGATACCAATATTTGTTACCTATGTTGGCTGTAAAGTCAGATCCTTAGTTTTCTGGTTGTACAAAGCTACAGCTAGCCTCACCTACCATTGCAAAAGCCTTAGCTCCAACAAAAAGTTGGACTAGGTGAGCCCCCAACAGTTGCTTTGAGTCAACATCTGCTCTGCTCAAGAAGAAACTGAATTCTGACAGGTTCTTGGCAACATGAGGCAAAATATTCCCAGGAAGGCCAATAGTCATATATAGAAAAAGAGGAGAACTCACCAACAGGTGAAGGAGCTCTCTGATCATATAACACTCCTCCTCAGAAGCAGCCTAGGTCCAAGAGATGCTCTCCCTCCAGTGGCTGGCCCTTATGAGCCCAGGATGCCTCCACCCCTTCTGGTCAGATGCACATAATTTGTACTCCCTGGGCTAATCAAATCCCATTACCAGGTGCTCAATCACCAGTTCAAGCCCTGACCTTACATTTCCCCTACAGCAACCTAAAACTTCACAGAAATTGATGGAAACAAATCCCCATCAATACTCTGTAATTTTCTGCCTGAGGTTCTTTCAGCCAACAGGCTACTCTTTCTGCTCTCAGATCTGAATCTGCCTTGTCTGGCTTTCAGCAATTGCAGTTCTGAAGTGGGCTTTGCCACAGGAGACCCCTTGAACTTGGGCAGCTCACCAGAAATATCCCACACGCGTACAGTCTGATCCAAGCTGGCTGACACTACCAGGTCCTCAGAGGGGTGAAACTGGGCACACATCACATAGTGGTTGTGTCCTGTCAGCACACTACAACAAAAAGGACAGAAAATACCATATAAACATAAGGTATATCAACATGCATTTTAATTACTACCAACAACAACAAGGTAGATTTTAAAAGGGACAATGAAAAATATGACTGGTAACAAAACCTGGAACAAAAATGCCATTCTTCAAGAACAACTGACAGAGCATTCATAACTGATCTGCTCTTGATGTCAGTTCTATTCCTTTAACTGCACACAGTTTGAAACATCAATAACTCTTTCTGCTTGAAAACAAATTAAAATTGCTCGCCCCCAAACTCCACAGTTACTTTTTAAAGCCTCTATGGATTTTACCAGACACAAGTTCTGGACTGCCAGTTCCAAACCCGAATGGTCTGATCATCGGAAGCACTCAAGATCCACGGATATTCCTAAAAAGTCAAAGTATTTCACATGTGACATAAATGCACGCCCCAAACAATCCCTCACCACAGAATATTTTTCAATTGCCACCAAAAATTTACCCTTTTTTTATGTTGCTTTACTTAGGATCTAGGGGAAAGTTTATGCCTCTTACAACTCTAGAGAATGCCACCATATCTGCACATTCATACCATTAGCTCCAGCACAACTTCAATATTCCCATCTAGGGCATCAAAAGACAAGTTCCCTTCCATGAGGGAAGGCCACAAATTGGGGTATGGACTTCAGTACTAAAGCTGCTTACGTGATGGAAGAAGGTGGTGCGGATGTAGTCCAAATGCCCAAGCAGAGTGAAAAGACAGCGGCGCAGTTTATAGTTCCAGACCTGTGCAACACAAAAGCAGAACAATCAGGCTATATCTGTGACCTACTAGAATTTTTTTTTATTTCTTTTTTGTACTTCCTCACAACAGGCTGAAATTTTGGTATTCTAGTTTACCTACAAGCAACCTTCTTCCATCTTAAAACATTTGTAATGCAAGTCTCAAAGAGACTTCAATTTGCTGTGATTAGCACTAATCCTTCTGAAACAGAGGGAGCATAACTCCAGTGCAATTCCTTCCCTTGGGTGGTGTTCTTTGAAATAAGAATTGCTAAAGCAGTAAAACATTACCTTTATTTTATAGTCATCACCTCCAGAAACAAACAGAGGCTGCTGCTTGTGGAAATCAATACCTCGAACAGGTCCTACAAAAAGGAAAAGCAGGTTGGACAGGGCAAACGACAGCTGGAGCAGACCCTCATATCACTCAAAGCATGCAATTCACACTCTTCATTGCTTCTTTTGATAAAAAAAATTTGATGCAACAAAAACCCACACTGAAATCTGACATCCCGCTCTTAAACCCATTCGCTTCTACCGGCACAACTGCATAAACACACTGCAAAGCACCCTGACTTTTTGCTCACGCACTGACAAGTTTGCTTTTACACTTGAAACAAAACAGCAGCCTCACTTTACACACATGAAAGAAGCATACAGAGACGAGCAAACAGGCTGCAATGAAATGCAGGGTTTGTCGCACAGCTCCTCAGGTCTGAGGGCCAGACCCAGGCCCACCCTATAGGTCACTGCAGCTCCCCCATCCCTCCCTACCACTGACCATCGTGCTCGTCGAACTTGTCGATAAGGGTGCACATGCGATAGTCCCACAGCTGGATGACGCCATTATGTAGGCTGGTGAGGATCCAAGGCCTCTTGGGGTGGAAGCTGAGCCCTATGGAGACACAGACAGAGATGACACACAAAGAGCGATAACAGAGAAACTCTATCAGACCTCCCCACACCGCACAGCCCTACGGCTACCTTTCACTCGAGCCGATTTGGTCTCGAATTTAGTCAACATCACAGCTGCACCCCCAGCCGCCGCCTCCCCGACCCTCCACGTCGGCACCCCGGAAGTACCCTCTCCCAACTTCCACTTCCGGCCATCGAGCGGCGGTCCTTCCGCTGACACAGTGTGGCTTCCGGCGCCGCGCATGCGCGGTGGCGCTGGAGGAACTGGGCTGGAAGATGGCGGCGATGGAGAGAGCCGGGAGGAGGCGGGGAATGACGGCTGTTGTAGGGAGCTGCTGGGTCTCGCTCCAGGCTTGGTGTGGGCCGCTGCCGGCGCTGCTTCTCGCCGTGCTGGTGGCGGGTGAGGCTGGCTGGCGGAGGGATAGGGCTGGGCCTGTGCGATCTGGGGCCGACCTCTCGTTCATGTGGAGGTCTTTTGCGAGGTTGGGCACTGGGAGCCCCGCTGAGGGAGCTGGGTTCGTTGAGCCTGGAGAAAAGAAGGTTGCGGGGTGACCTCATTGCAGCCTTCAGTACCTAACGGGAGCCTACAAACAGGAGGGGAGTCAACTCTTGGAGAGGGGAGATGACAGCAGGACATGGTCGGAAGTCGAGGGAGGGTAGATTGAGGTTGGATGTCAGGGAAGTTCTTTGCTGTGAGAGCGGTGAGGTGCTGGAACAGCTGCCCAGAGAGGCTGTGATGCCCCGTCCATCCCTGGAGGTGTTCAAGGCCAGGTTGGATGAGACCCTGGGCAGCCTGGGCTGGTGTTAAATGTGGAGGTTGGTGGCCCTGCATGTGGTGGGGGGGTTGGAGATTTGTGATCTTTCAGGTCCATTCCTACCCGGGCCATTCTGTAATTATGTGAGCCCTCTCCTGTGCCCCCCCCCCCCCCCCCACACACACACACACTATTTTAAGGAGGGCTTTGAAGTGTGGGAGCTCCTGGTTTATCCTCCCTGAAGTGGGCCTGTGTCTTCTCCTCAGGCTCCTGCGAGGGGAATTCGGTTGAGAGGAAGATCTACATCCCCCTGAACAAAACAGCGCCGTGTGTTCGTCTTCTGAATGCTACACACCAGATCGGCTGCCAGTGTGAGTACAGCTGGAGATGTTCCTCAGGGTGGCCATGTCCAGACAGATGGGATATAATGCCGTTGTCCTACCTGAGTCAGCATTCCTTGTGTTTTCATTACTGTTTGCTGACTTTTCCAATCCCATTTCACTCATACTGATGTGTTTCTTCTATATTGAGGATTGGGCCTTAAGAGAGGCCGTGTCCTTGAAAATCCATGCCTTGACTGGCACAGAGCAGCATTTTCAGTGCACACAGTCAGTTCCTGCTCAGGACAAAGCTAAGGTACAGCACAGCATCGTGGCTGCAGATTCTGCTGTCTGTGCCCAGCCAGCATCCCGGGGTACAAGGCAAAGTTGTGAGCCTAATGCAGAATGTATTCGGTGTTAACAAGTTAGGAGAAGAAAGGGACAGAGTGTTAAGAAAGTGACCTCTGAAGGGACTGGAGGGTTTGGCTTAGCTGCTTGTGCACTATTTGCTAACTTTGTATGTTTTTTGTCATATTAAGGTATAGGAACAGGACTGCTTAGCTAGTAGAAATGAGAAGAAAAACAAGGGAGCCCAATCCGCATAGTACTCTTTCCTGAAGTTACTGTGTGTAGAAAGGGGTTCCTATGAGTCAACGTTTTGTTAATTTGTAATTGAATTTTGCTTCCTGATTGAGTCACTCCTGCAGCAGAGGTTGTCAGCTGCCACTGCATGGCAGCACAGCTTAGTCTGACAGGTAGCCCAAGGCGTGTTGTTCCCTGACTTCTGCCCTCTGACGTGAGCCTGGTGTTGGTGCAGACACGGGCATGGGGTTCTGCCTTCTCAGTCATAAGCAGTATCCAGTGATAACCATTACTAACTGTGGGCTTGTTTGTATCAGTGGACTCCTGTAAAAGTGCTTTGTCTGCCCTCTGCTTTCTTTGGTATGGGATGAAATGACAAGCAGGGAGACCTACTCAGTTGCTCATCCCCTTTGTGGCCGTGATCTTTTGCTCTTATTTCTCCCTATGCACCTCAGGCCTCCTGCTGAGCTCTCTTTGAGCTCCCAGTTTCTGAATTTGCAATCTTTAGCCCTCCATGATGGTCAGCTGCTGTGACTGTGTCCTTGAGACAGGCAGATCCTGTCTTCCCTTTGTGTTTTCCTTGCTCATGTGCTTTTCTGTCTTGAGATCTCCTTTTTCTGCTGTATTATGCCTTACTGCCTGCAGCTCAAGTCAGTGCTCAAACAAAGCAGGCTTTTAAAGCTCAGAGCTTGTTTCCATTACTTTTTATTCTGCACTGTTCACTGTTTTTTTCCTGAGAAACTGCTGTTCTTCAATGTCAGTGAAACGGTGCCACTTCACCAAATTGCTTCCTCCATCTCTCATCTTGTATCAGCTGTTCTTCCTTAAAGCTCTTCGATCCATGCTGCCCTATTTTGGGGTTGTTGAGGGTGTGAAGGAAGTAGAACACAGTGAAACATGAAGGGTATTTTCTCTTTCCACAGCCTCCATCAGTGGAGACACAGGGGTGATACATGTGGTCGAGAAGGAGGAGGACCTAAACTGGGTGCTTGCTGATGGCCCACACCCACCCTACATGATATTACTAGATGGAAATCTCTTCAACAGGTCAGTTGTCATAGGTTTTATCTTCCCTAGGTCACAGGAGCCCAGAAGACCAATGTGGACCCATAATTTTATGATAAAAAATGTCATTTTTCAAGTGAGAGATGGCAAAATCATCTTTGACTGTGCTGAAGTACAGTGAGGGTGGCACGTTTGTTTTTACTGTGTTTTTCTGCATGGGTTGGTTGAAGTTTTCTGGTTGTTGCCATCTTAATACAGTTCTCAACTGGTGAGGAGAAAGGTTATTTTGATCAAAAACATCATCGTGGGCTTGAGCATAGCATGCATCAGCATTGACACGTCTTGGATTGTAACTTTTCATTAATGAATTCAAAATATCACCTATATTTTCTCTGTTCCAGGAAGGTAATGCAGCAGCTGAAGGGAACCTCACGAGTGTCAGGCCTTGCAGTGTCTATTGCCAAACCTAACCCTCCCCAGGGATTTTCTCCTGGTTTGAAGTGCCCCAATGATGGGTTTGGTAAGGAAATGTTAAGTTTTTCCTATTGCTGGGAGGAGAAGTAGTGCCATTACATTGTAAGATCAAAGCAAGAAGGGCAAAGGGCACGTGAAATTGCAACTTCACATGCCAAAATTCATCTAAGATAACCTGCTTGATATGTCCTTTTGAAATAACTGGTCTGAGCTGGAATCTCATCAGTTCTTAGTGAGGCCTGATGTTTGGGGGAAGACTGATAAGCTGGATAAACCAGCATGAAATTGCTATTCAGTCTGACCAAGGTTTGCTGCAGTTTCTTTTTCTTTCACTTTTGAAACACAAATTTTTTCCACACCTCGTCATTAAAGCTTGATTTTGCATGAAGTGGATGAAACCACTCTGAGCCATTTGGTACTGTTTCTGATTCCTGCCTGAGTTCCCCATGTGATTTCAGTTAGGTTTTCACTTTACTATTTATTTTTTTTTTCAGGCAGCTAATTCACTGTCTTACACTGTGTGGAGAGAAATTGCCTTTCTGTAGTTTGCACTCAACTTTCTCCTCCTCAGCTGTGAAGGATGATGTGCAAACTCTGAGATGAGTTTGTGCTGGCATTTGTTGCCTCTTTGCCTTCATGCTGCTTGCTCAGTACCTAGGTGTTAAAACCATTGGCACATTACAGATGCCTTAGGGGTATTTCCAGCACATGATGAGCTCAGAAAATGCTGTTTAGTATGTTCCTCCTTTTGGAGTATAATGTTTCTCTGTGTGCCTCCACTGCTCTCTCAGCATGTGATAAATGCTCACTGAGTGCTCCTGCCAGCCTCCTGGCATGGGATGGCTTTGAGCATGCATGTTTTCTATTCTCCCTGCATGGCACAGCGTTCAGACTCTGCCACTCTGCCTCATGCAGTGACCAGCTCCACGTCTAAGCTTTGTCAGCTGGTTCCCTAGCCCATAATGGTGCTCGTTCTGTTCTTGCTGCCATTTTCTCAGCAGGCCCTACCTTTGCTGTAGTTTGTTATTCTCTCTGCAGGCTCAGATTTGCCCATTTCTTTCTGTTTCCAGGTGTCTATTCCAAAGACTATGGCCCTCAGTACGCACACTGCAATAGGACTGTGTGGAATCCAGTGGGGAGTGGGCTTTCATATGAGGATTTTGACTTCCCCATTTTTTTACTTGAAGATGCCAATGAGACTCAAGTTATTAAGCAGGTACTTAACTTTCCCAGACTGTGAGAGAGGGGAGCTGCCACACAGTTCAGGAAAGGGGCCAGAAATTGAGCTAACTCAGCACGGATGTTGACACCTACAGAAAAAAATACATGATCCAGCTTTGTAAGCAGACAAGCTAAGTTTCGTGATGATGTTTATTTCTGTCCAGTGTTACCAAGACCACAACGTCCCTACTGATGGATCTGGCCCTGAATACCCTCTGTGTGCCATGCAGCTTTTTTCCCACATGCATGCTGTCACCAGCACTGTTACCTGCATGAGACGCAACTCCATCCAAAACACCTTCAGCATTAATCCAGGTGAGCAGATTTCTCTCCTTGTCATGATAAAACTGGTGAGCTGCAGCTGACAAGATTGTGTTTCAGTTCTCTCTGCTGTAATCTCAAGTTTCAAGCAATGTTGTTTCTGCTTTTTAGAGACTGTATGCGATCCTCTGCTTGATTACAATGTGTGGAGCACCTTGCACCCTATTAATTCATCTGAAAAAGTTGATCCTAAGAAGGAGTTTATTATGGTTGCTACACGGGTAAGTATCTCTTAATCTTGCTTTGCAGAGGGTGGACTGGAATGGGAAGATGTGAGTGTAGGGTCTTGTGAAAATACACTTGTCTTATTTCCATTTCTTTCCTGTGCTCCTGCCCTTCGTTTGGATTGGATTGGCTATTGCAATTGATGCTTGGAGTTTCATTGGGCAGTATAATTTGATTTTTTCCCTTATCAGTGGGATGAGTGGGATTAAAAAGAGGTAGCAGATTTGCTTTCCCAGTACAGTATCCCTCTGCACATTTCTTATGCCTGCTGTTCATGCTTACAGATTGACAGCCATTCCTTCTTCTGGAACATTGCACCTGGGGCAGAGAGTGCTGTCTCCTCTTTTGTGACCCACTTGGCTGCTGCTGAAGCCCTTCATAAGGCATCAGATGTTCATTTGCTGCAAAGGAATATAATGTTCACCTTCTTCCAAGGGGTAAGAGCAGCAGCCTCGCTCCACCATTTGGCTTGTTTCAGAGTAGCAAATCAGCCTTTGGCTCCTTGCAAATGAACTCTTTCCTACCCTTTGTGCAAAGTCATTTATCTGCATCCCCACACCGTGGTTCTCTCCACTCCCCTGGTGAGAACAGGATCTTAATTTCACTGGGATGACAACAGCAGATGGAGCTTCCAATGGGGCAGTGCATGTTCTGCCCCACAGTTGATTCTGGATGAATAAGTCAAACTTTACTTTTCCTCCTGTCTCTTCCCACTGTGCTTCTCTGTACGTCCCACTCCCATTCAGAATGAACAGCAATGGCTAGGCTTTAAATTCTGAAACAAAGCCCAGAAAAAAAAACTAGATTAAAAATATATGCGTTGACAGCATCAAAATGTAGTTCATTTCTGAGAGCCCAGTACTGGAGTTGGCAGCTGTGGAAAAAAACAGAACAAGCTTGTGGAGGAGAGACTGACGGCCAACAGCTGATGTTCCCCTGAAGGCATCTACATTGATGGCTTCTTTTGTGCAGCTCTGTGAAACTGGCTCCCACAGCCCCATGCTGTGGCCATGTGATTCCCTTCATTCACCCTCCCCAGCACATACATCCCTATTCAGAATTTCCCTCAGGGAGATGAGCGTACAGCACTGTAGAGCAAACACTCTCTGTCGTGCTCCCAGAATGTAAGTGGAGTGATAAGACTTGGCTGTATAATAGTCAAGAGGAAAGTCTGGTGGCTGGCTGACTTCGCTGTCCTTTTCTGTCATGGGGATTCTCTTCTTTGGGGCATTGATTCATTCTAGACAATGCTCAGCTTCTTGCAGTTCCCATGACTGTTGATGTCATCTTGCCTTCCCTTCCTTTTTCTAGGGAAACAGATACCCCTCCTTCCAGGAGAGCTTCACATGTTTAATTCCTGGAATGGAGGATTTGCCCTTTTCCCTGACTTCCTCTTCTACTCACCCAGAAACAGAGGGGTTGTACACCAAAGTAGAGGGTGTAGTATTGCCTCTCTGCTGTTACTTGCAGTATCATTGTGAGTTATCAGTACTTGCAGAAGTCTCTCTGTGCCTTTCTTGCTTGTGCAGTAGCTATCTCCTGTTTTTTTGCTGTTTACCTTCAATTTTGTCCTTTGCTGCATCTCAGCCTACAACATAATATTTCCTTTGGTATTCTGGTGTCAGCCAGGCTATGCAAACCTTCAGAAATACTTGGTGCAGCAGTTAGCCCTCAAACTTTTGGTTTTGTTCCACCTCGGCTTCTCAAATGGTGCTGTTAATTGGGCCAAGCAGCGTTCTGTATGTGAGTCATGCGTGGATTTGTTTCTTATTTCTTTTTATTACCTTGTTGCAGGAGACTTTTGATTATATTGGCAGTTCACGAATGGTGTACGATATGGAAAAAGATAAATTTCCTCTCCGTTTGGAGAACATCCATTCTTTTGTGGAGTTGAATCAGGTGAGAGACGAGCTGGGGGATATTTTTGATTCTTTATTTGTAATAATTTAGGTGTGGTTTTCTCAACCATCGTTTTTCACTGCTTTGGTCGTTCTTTTTTCTGATCTGGATTTAGTCATGCCCTAGTAGGTGTTGAAGGGGTTTTGTTTCTTTTCTTGCAGGTGGCTCTAAGGAATGGCTCCATTTTGTGGATGCATACAGACCCCGTCTCTCGGTTGAATGCAACTATTGAGCCCCAGGTGAGTGAAAGCAGTTTGTAGTTGTTCACCTAACTGAAATTCTGAGGCATCCTTAGCATTTTACAAACGTTCAGGATGCTAAACTTCCCAGACAAAAAAACAACTGCACATTCAAAACAAAAAGAGTGGAACAGTGCTGTTTTTTTCCTTTTCAGATTAAAAACCTGCTCGATATTCTGAGTAATAGCAGCGTAGGAGCAAATGTCACTTTCCAGGAAGTTGGATTTTCTCAGTCTCTTCCTCCATCTTCATTCCAACGCTTCCTTCGAGCCCGGCACATTCCTGGCGTTGTCCTGACCGACCACCAGGCTTCCTTCCAGAACAGGTACCACTCTGCCCCATGGCCAGAGGCAGTGGGGCCGGCAGAGGGCAGCCCCAGCTCCTGCAAGGCCTCTGCCAGGGCTGTGCTGCCCAACACATGTGGAACGGCAGGCTGGGGGGAGTGGAAGAGCAAACGTGTGCCATGTAATTGAACAAGCGCAACATAATTATTCTGACAACCGAAAGAAATCCAGTTTTGTACAGAAAATGTTCCCCACAGCTGGCTGGGAGCCAGAGGTGAGCAAATGGCAACTGAGCGTGCCTAAGCCTCATCTGTTCTTCCAGAAGCTAGATGCTTCTTTTTTTTTTTTTTTTTCTTTTTTCTTTTTTTTTCCATATAGCTTTCTATTTGTGATGGCAGAAAGCCCCAGGCATTACAAAGGGCACTTTCATTCACCTCACATGACCCTAATACTGGGTGTTCCTTGGGGATTCTGCTTCTCTTCAACTTTGGAAATGGGGATGAGGGGTGGAGGACAGACGTCCCCTTTTTGCATCTTCTCTTTTCCCCTTCATCCAAGCTCTTCAAATTGTCTCTTTGCCTTTTCTACCCTCTCTGTTACTGAGAATCTCTGGCGTGATCAAAAGGAAGTGGCTTCCCTTTCTTCCCTTTTAGCTCTAAACGTGCACTGCTTTGAAGGTGCAGGAGGAGCTGAGGTGAAGGACAGCACACTTCCCTGGTCTGTAGGCTGGGGAGATCAATCCCAGGTTGTCTGGGAATGTCAGGTGTACAGACCATGCAATTCCCAGTTCAGCTGTATGTGTTGCAGACTCTTTGGTGTAAATCTCTCCTAAAGTTCACTTGGAATTCCTCACTGCCTTTAAAACAAGGCATTAATAAAAATCCTCTAGCATGACTTGCATTGAAAGCTCTCTTCCCACGAGACCTTCTGCATGAGTTGTCCTTGCCTCAGTTTCTCTATCCATTTAATAGATGGGGGCTGTCGCCCACCTGAAAGCTAATCACAGCTTGTAAATTGCTTGGAGATCCTCAGATGGGAGAAGCTGTGGAAGGGCCAAGTTAATTATAAAGCCTCATTAAATGGTTTAAGGAGCGTGTGGCAGGGCAGTGCTTTGGCAGAGCTGTCTCTCTGCTCCCAGGAGACTGCTCCCACTGTTTGCTTTAAGCACACTCTGAATTGAATTCCATGCCCTGTGGTTTCTTTCTGCTCCTCCCCAACCTCTGTTTGCTTTCTTCTTTTCAGATACTACCAGAGTATGTACGACACTCCAGAGAACATCCGGATGCAATACCCCGAGGGGCTTAGCCCCGAGGAGACCCTGGAGTATGTTACAGACACAGCCAAGGTTCCAACTTTACATTTTCTTTAGCTGCTCTGTCTGGGATGGATGGGGCTTTCAGTAGGGGCAGATTGCAGGTGGGCTCACGGAGAGAGGAGGAAGAAGGTGGGAATGCTTTGTATGTTTACAAAGGCAATAAGGCACTCAGATGCTGGTGCGATATAAGCATGTTGATGGATGTGTAGGTTCTGGCTTGCTCTTAATTGTTTTGCTGGGTCTGTCTATCTTGATTAACACAAAGTACTCTTCCTTTGCAGTCTCTGGCAGAAGTTGCCACAGTGGTCGCCCGTGCTCTCTACCGGCTTGCAGGGGGAGCCAACGACACCTCTGCTATTCAGGCAGATCCAAAAACGGTACGAGCAGATGGAATTGAGTCCCTGGCATCTATGATGAGCCCTCACGTACTTCCCTTCTGTCTTTGTTTATGTGTGTTTACACAGCATGCTGTCCTGTCTGTCTCCATGAGGGCTTTGCCTCTTCCCCCCCCTTTCTCCATCACAGTTGAATGAAAAAACTTTCACTCTGCTTCCTTGCCTTTCTGTCTCAGGGCAAAGAAGTGGAAACTGAGGTGAGGTGGCAGCGTGTGCCACAGGGATCAAGTAAGGAATCGATGGATCTGGAATGAAGCCCTTGTTTTCACATAATGTACAGTTGTGACATATAGTCTCTGCTTTGCTATGCTCTTGGTCTCTGTAGTGAAAAGTGTATTCTGTGCCAAATAATCTTGAGAGATGTAGCCATTAAGACGCTGTGTTCTTTCCTCTTTGTATAAAGCAATTTACATTTCTTTCCAGATCACTCAAATGCTCTATGGGTTTCTGATTAAAATGAACAATTCCTGGTTTCAGTCCATCATTAAACCAGACCTGAAAGGGATTCTGGGTAAGCAACATAGGGAAGAACACAGGGATGTGTTTGACCCCATATGTTACCTGGCAACTTTGTAAAGCTCCACAGTATCACTGCTTCTGGCATTTTCCCCATCAATTCCAATTCTCTCACTGTTCCAGGTGATGATGTTCCCCAGCACTACGTTGCTGTTTCCAGCCCTGTGAACACTACCTACCTTGTGCAGTATGTTCTGGCCAATCTCACAGGCACTGTTGTTAACCTCACCAAGGAAGAGTGCTTGAACCCTGAAAAAGCACCTAATGCTGAGAAAGAAGTAAGTGCCATTAGAGTGGCAAGGACAGATCTGCTGTTCAATTTTCTGGTTTTCTGCTTTTGAGGGAAGCTAGTTAGGATTGCTTTGCACTGCCTGTAATCACACATGGGAGAACTGGATCAAATCCTTCAACAAGAAGGCGTTCTGACACTGAAGGGCAGAGGAGGAGTAAATGAAAGGATCCCCTGACAATGAGAACAGTCAGAAAAACCCTCCTCTCTCTTACCAGAAGACAGTCTGGTTATTTGCTAGTGCCTCGCTGTCTCCTAATGTCTTGTTTTCGTTGCAGATGTATGACTATGCCTGGGTGCAGGGTTCCCTGGACCCTAATTCAACATCACGAGTCCCCTACTGCGTTCGGTCAACCGTTCGCCTGAGCAAAGCACTCTCTCCTGCCTTCGAGCTGAGGGAATGGGGATCTACAGAATATTCCACGTGGACAGAGAGTCGATGGAAGGAGATCCGTGCCAGAATATTTCTAGTAGCCAGCAAGGAGCTAGAGGTGAGTTTGCACTTTGCATAGTGCCTTAGTAGTGAGTCGTCTCTGCGGCTTTCTGACAGTGACTCCCCCCACCCCCATTCAGTAAAACTTCTATGAGATTTTTGTCTATCTTTGTTGCAACAATGCTAAGTATTTCTCATCCCTTCCTAGATAATCACTTTGGTTGTGGGCATTGCCATTCTGGTCTTCTCTCTTGTCGCCACACATTTTATCAACGCCAAAGCAGATGTACTTTTTAGCATCCCTCGGGACCCTGGGGCTGTGGCTTACTGAAGATGCTCTCAAAGCATGAGAAGTCTTAGTCCTTGGATTACAAATATCAAAGAGAAAACTACACTGGAATGCCCCTCTCTCTGGATAGGGACGGAAATGGTTCTCTCCAGAGCCTCCATGCTCAAGTTAGGAGCCCTGAAATGTAAGAGACTGTGTGCCTATCAAGCCCGAAAGAAATTGTGACTGAGAAGTTCCCGAAGCCTTCTGTTTTTAATTTGTCCTTCCTCTGAGAGACGTGAGAGGGTTGTTCCTGAATGCCACCGAGGTGACAAAGCAATGGACGTGTTCCCTACGTGATGGTGAGGGTGGGAGGGGTATTTTCTCTGGGATATGTGTGGACCAGTGCATTTCCATGGTGTCCAATAGCATGGGTTGCCTGTTAACGTCCAACAGTTGCTGTGAATCTGTGTATATACTACAATGCAGGGAGGACAAGCGTGTTTAACACATGATTAGTTGTAAAATATCCTTTTTTTTAAATGGTGCAATATTTTCTGGGTTTTGTATATATATATATAAATAGTTCTGTTTAATTAAAAAAGAAATCTCTGCTTACAGATTAACCCGTTGCCTGCATTATCTTTAGTTGCTGCCCAAAGGACTAAAATCAGTAGGTGCTGCAATATGTTTTGGTCTTGGGAGGAACAGCATTTGTTTCAGCTTAGACTGATAGCTCTCCAAGGCAGGGATGGCTGCTCATTTCTTACAGTGCTGTCAGTGGTGATGCCTTGGTTCATTTTAGGCACTGGTATATTAAACATTTAATAAAGAGCGTGCTCACAGCAGGACTGGGCTCTGAGGGCCAGCAGTGATGACTGACCAGGCATTCAGCCATTCCTGCTTGTTCCTTTTATGTGAAAATCCACCTGTTCTTCAGCAGTGTTGATTCAAAAGATGTGATAGTGCTGTTGTCCAAAGTGAGGAGCTCAAAAACAGGTAGGGAGGATTAATCACAGAAATCAGAGCTGACTAGCACTGAAGCCAGCATCGTTTTCGCTTCCCTAGAGGGCTATGCAGGCTTATTGTGTTTAAGTCTTTTCTCAACTAGACATAAACTCTGGAGTTTTAAAGTAATTCAGACCTTGTGCTTTCAGTGCTTCCCTGAGGGAGACTTTTTCCAGTTGCTAATGCATCTTGCTATCAGGAAAACTGTTCCTGATACTTGGCAGAATGTTTCAATGCCTGATTTATTTTCATTTCTTCTAGCAGCACCAAAGAAACTGAAATCTCAGTTTAAATGGAGATATCTTTTCTTTATAGTAAGGGTTTTCATAGCCTCTAACTCCTAATCTTTGGACAGAATGAATCAGTTTCCCCCAAATTATTGACTATTTATGTGCTGGAACATGCTTCAGGTGAGATAGAAGACCTCAAAACAGCATGTGATCTGACAAGAGTTTTGTAAAGTACGTTTTCCCCCTCATAAGGTAAGTAGGTTATATTTTCTTTACATAGCCAATTAATTTCAAACCTAGATTGGATGCTTGGGTTTGGGCTTTTATTTTCATTAAGGCTTCTGGTTGGGTTTTGTTGGGTTTTTTTTCTCCTCTCCTCGCTCGTTTTCCCCACACAAACAGAAATAAACCCTTTCACCACTCCCAGCCCCATTTTCCACTCCCAGCTTTTTGTTCCGAGCTGCTCTCTGGCGAAGCAAACAAACAGCTGCCTCTGTTGTCTGTGCCTATGCCACTCCTTAGATGGCCAACAGGTCTCCCTGCGGACAGTGCAATGAGCAGCCCTCCTATCAGTGGCTGACAAGGGGACGGGAGAAGCAAGGGGCTAAGCTGGCAGCTGCTGTGGCAGAGACACATTTTCCATAATGCTGCCAATGCTGGAGAACACCGAAAGTCTTCGCTCGACTGTCAGCCCAAAATTTACCCCTCATCATAGATCTGTGTGTCCTTCAAACTTACGGTGCCAGCAGTGTCGCTGAGCAGAAGGGTGAAAGGAAAGTAGCCATCAGTGTGCTTCCAGCCCTCCTCATTGTGTTTTGCCATGGTCAGTAAATTAGTTTTGCTCAGCTGGCTTTTGATGATCGGGCCGTGCTGCTCGGATCTGAGCCTCAATTCCTCTGGGAATTGGGCCTGAGTGTAGGATGAAAGGGGGTGGGGAAGAAAGGGGATTGCTGGATTCGTTGGGAAGTAAATGAGCCACAGGAGCGAGTCTGTGCCTGGGTTTCTGTGCCTTGCCCTTCTCCTCACAGTGCCCATTCCCATCCGTGGCACGAGCCCGACTCCTGCCCTGCTTCCCAGTGGTGAGGGATGCTCTCGACACCAAGAGCTGAACAGTACTTAAAATACAGAGGTGTAATGTTGGAGTAGAAACAATGTTGATGACAGAGGAGCTGCTTTTCGTCTCGTGGAGAATGAAATCCCATTTTATATGGAAACACACCTGCATCTTTCTCCAGATTGTAAATGGGGCGCGCCAGGAGGAGCTGGAATCAACATGACCAATATTCAGTTGCTCAGTCTCACCGCTGATCTCCAAACAAAGAGCTGACAGTGGATTTGGGAGTGCTCATTCCCCTCCGCTGGGACTGGGAAAGCCTTTGCTGCTTTTGTGTATGGCAAGTAAATGGCTGCCCCTTGGGGAGCTGCTGTTGGCTGGTTTAAGCCCAGAGTTCGTCCTTTATCCCTGCAAATGCTCACTCTTAAGCCATCCTCCCCATGCCTTCACTCTGAGTACAGTTATCTGCAATAGGTGCATGTCCCTAGCTTGAAAATAAAATAAGCTCGACTCCCTGTTTATCTTCCTTTACAGCATGCAGTAGCTGCTTTGGTTTGGAGCTGAGCACGTCCCCGTTCCTCCTCCCATCCTCATACAGCAAGCAGCAGCTGTCCTCAGCTGCGCCAACCTTAAAGTTGATAACTCCCCTGATACACTTTTCTCCATCACTCCTGAGATTATGTGCATTAATTAGAGCATCCCTAATGCTAATAAGCAATGGGGAATACGGGCTTTCTTAGTACGTGAATGTGGAAAGTGTTGGTGTAAACGTAGATTTATTTTTATCTTTGCAGTAGGAGCAAAATTACCGAGTTTTTGAGGTGCAATTGCTTGCATTTGGATGGGTGCTGGCTAAGTAAGGTAAAGCTGAAGTCAGGGACCTCGTCTCTGCTCCTATTCGTGCTGCTGCTGCTCTGGGTGACAGTGCAAAGCTGGTGGTACGGCCTTCCTTGAGGTAGGTTGATGCAAGCAAGATAATTCCCATGTTCAAAGCCTGTTCTCTGTGATAATTAGATAAGTTTGCATGGGGAATTATGCGTAGCATATGGAAAGCAAACAACTTTGCTGCTCATGTCTGCTCTTCTTTCGAAGCTGCCACTCACAGCAGCGCACCCTCTTGGTGTGAGGAAGGTTTGCAGCAAGCACCACTCGTGTGTCCCAGGTTGTCCAGGAGGACGTGGGTCAGTGGGGAAATAATTCATAGGATCACTCCCTATTTTCTTGCTATGAGAAACCTTTAGCAAGCTTTGTGCAATGACAGAGGTTGCCACCCCTCCAGCAGCGTCATTGGAGGACACAAAAGCTCCCTCCAATGCAGTTGCTGCATTGCAATCAAGTTCAGGTACTGGGAAAAAATGTTCTCTTCTGCCTCTCAGACTTTGGCTTGTTCCAAAGCATGAATATTGAGTTTCTTCCAGAACTTGAAGTTGTTTTACATCATTCTTGGTCTAACCTGTTCTTCCTGATGCACACAGATGCTGGGCAGCTTTGAGTGCTGTCCAAGCACTCAGCATCCTTGGTGTTTTTTGGGCATTGAATTCAGCATGTTGCTTATTCTGCTGGTTAAGTGGGGTGAAGGGTTTGGGAGATCATTCCTGCTCCGTGTTTGACCAAAGAAATGGGAGAAAAGGGAGAACTGTGCAGTCAAAAGCAATTTCACCCCCAAGGAATGGAGCCTGGGAGAAGCAAGTTCTGCAGCCTCCTGCCAAGGGAAAAAGAAGTGATGCAACCTCTTACAAGTCTTGCTGGACTGCTCTTCAAAATAAACATGCTGCTGACGCCAGTGAGGGCTGGGACAGCAGTTCCCAGGGGCAGCTGCCTGTCTGCACCTTGTGCTGTTTGTTCTTGGAGATAAAAACTGCCCAGCTCAGGTGAGCCTGATGGTGGCAGGACAGCCCTGGAGAAGACCAGTGCTGGAACCAGCTTTCCTGATGTGCTTGGAGAGCAGTGATTTGCTCACTAACCTGCAGCCTGTCATTTTGCTACAACGTGCTGAGCCAGGAACACAGGGGTCTCTGCCTCCAAAATCTACTTCATCTCTTCGCCTTGCCCAGCTCACAGAGCTCCCTGCAGACCCTTCATCCACCTCCCACCCCTGCCCTGCTTCTGAGGTAGGTCTGTAATCCAGGCGCAGCTCTAAAGACATTTTCCCCATTCCACTTCTAGCAACATCAAAGCCCAGACGGGCTTTTTTTTTTGGGAGCACAGACTCCCCTTGCTGAGAAGGGCAGCTGGCACATGCTGTCTCTCCAGCAGAGCCTCCAGGCATCTCATGGAGACACTCCCCTGCCACGCATCTTTTGCGAGCATCAATTTCCTCTGCTCTCTCCCCCGTGCAACTCTACCAGGGATTTCTGTACAAAAAGAAGATGCCACTGACGCTCCTGACCTCTGAACTCAGCTGCCTCCCAGGAGGCAGAGGGCTGGGGCTGAGCCCAGAGAGGAGGGTTTGCAGCTGCCCTTGTGCCTGGAGGGGGCAGACATATGGGGGTGACAGTCAATGAGACAAGGAGAAAGGAGAGGAAATGTGTGTTTTCTTAGCGCCCAGCATCCCAGCTCATGGGAACTTTATGGCTCCAGAATATTAAGAGGCAGGAAAGTTAATTAATACCCAGAACAAAGCCAAGGCTGTTTGGCTTCTGAGAGAAGGAAGCAGTGGAGACAGGGAGAAAAAAAAAAAATTTAGTGTCTTCTTAAATAATTTTTCAGTGTTTTATCAGCAGCTAAAATAGGCTGTGTCCCAAACGGGGCTTACAGTCATTCTCCAGCACTCCCACTGCTGTGATCATCGACAACTTTGTGTCCTACTCAATGAGCAGCAGCGAGTCCAGACGAAGGAGAGAAGGCTCAGCCCACTGCAGCAAAGCAGAGGTTGTTGGCTGGCACCCAGTGGGCATCTGAGTCCAACATGTGTTTTAAAATCAGGGTCTGAATAACTACAAATAACATCACAGGAATTGCCAGGCTGGATCATGCCCAGGGTCCATCTCTGCTGCTGCTCTTGTCTCCAATAGACCGGCACCTGCTGCTGGGAAAGGTATGGGAAGACCCTGGAGGTAGCTGGAGAGGAGGTGATGAGAAAACTCCCATTCAGTGGTTCCAACTCGCTCCTTCCCTGCCCACCCTGTGCTCCTGTGGCCTTGTCCTTTCATCTCTGCACCTTGGCCATCCTTTCTGCACAACCTGCCCATGAGCAATGCACGGTCCTGCAGGGATGGAGGATGCTGCTTAGGATCTCCAGCACGCTGCTACCCAGGTGATCCCTCCCCGTCGCCAGCACGGCTCCAGCAGAAAGGTTTCTGGGGCTAATCAAGATCGACATACAAACAAAACAGCATCTCTGCATCTCGCAGCCAGCAGAAAGGGAGAAGCAGATGGGCGAGAGGAGGCAGGGAGCTGCTGCTAAATGGATTGATGGAGAGGCCTTTAAGAGAGATGGATTGGAGAGGGAGCCGCTGGAGGAAAGGGCCGGGGCGGCCACGCTGCGAATGGGGCAGGGGCCCAGGGAGATGATGGGAAGGGAGAAAGGCCTGCAGATAACAGATGGATGGACACAAAGACTGGAAGGGAAGAGAGGGACAGATGGACAGGCAATAGAGAGAGTCAGGAGAAGAGAGGGATCTGAACGTAATTAGATTGGATCCGATTATGACAGACTCGATTAGAGCAATATTATGATCAGGAGCTTCTGTCGCTATTTGGCTTTTAGGGGGAACAAAGCCAGAGAGCACGTGTGGAAGGGGGACAAGCGGAGGCGAAGGGAACTGGGAAGGATGAAAGGAAAGGGGCTCCTTGTGAAAGCTGTCAGTGGTGGTGGTGACAGATTGTCTGGTTATCGAGCACCGGGGCCGTCTGTCACCGGCCGCTCACAAAACCTGCACTCAATAAAAGGCAGGGAGACAAAGGGAGAGGAGAGGAGAGGAGAGGAGAGGAGAGGAGAGGAGAGGAGAGGAGAGGAGAGGAGAGGAGAGGAGAGGAGAGGAGAGGAGAGGAGAGGAGAGGAGAGGAGAGGAGAGGAGAGGAGAGGAGAGGAGAGGAGAGGAGAGGAGAGGAGAGGAGAGGAGAGGAGAGGAGAGGAGAGGAGAGGAGAGGAGAGGAGAGGAGAGGAGAGGAGAGGAGAGGAGAGGAGAGGAGAGGAGAGGAGGACACAAGTCAGGCTTGGGGTGTTTTGCATGGCTCAGGGGCTGCTGGTACATGAGCACACGCACAGGGAAACATGGGTGTGCACACAGACATGCTGAGAGGTGCTGAGCCATGCTCTGCCACCTCCCCAGGTGTCCTGTAGCGCAACTTTGCTCCTGCACACATTAGTGTGCACAGGTTGCATGGCCAGCCTGCTCTAACACATGCTCCAATGCTGTCCAAAGAGGCTTCGAGCCCTGGGCTGGAGCTCCGAGGGCTGGAGCATCACCCTGCTGAGCTCCAGCCGTGCACTGTGATATGGTTGGCAAGGCCTTGCACCATCCATGCAGAGCACTGTGCCCTCTGCAGCCCGCTCAGCTGCAGCAGTTGGTTGCAAACCAGGCATGATGGGGATGGCAGCTGTCCACTTTACCAACTGCACTTGTGCAGTCCTGGAAAAGAGCAGCAGCAGCAAACCATCCCTGTTGATGCCGGAGGAGCTTTGCTGCAGGGAACAGCCCAAAGCTGCTGCAGGAGGCTTTGCTGTGAGGGAGCAGTGGGGTTGTTGCAGGAGCAAAGGCAGCTCAGCACCTCTGATTCTGCAGAGGGCTCTCGCTGGAGAGGTGGATGCATTCACACCTCATGCGTGGAGATGGAGTCCGTGGTGCAGAAGTGATGATGCCCCAGCACCATCCCTTAGCAATGGCAGCGTGTGGCAGGGACCCCCACCCTTCCACAAAGCTCTCTCACTCATCCTTTGGGTGTGTGGCCCCTCACTGTAGGAAAGTTACTCCAGCTGGGTCTGGCCCCAGCAGCCCAAGGGTTAATGCTGCCTGTTTTCCCTGACAAGCAGAGGCCAGTATGGTCCCGGGTGGCTTTGTACAATATGTCACCTCCTCTCCTGCCAAACGCTGCCTCTCGGAGCCTTCTTCCATACTGAGCATGGAGATGGGAGCAGCTCAGCCCTTGGGGTGGGCACAGGGACGGACCTCCCTCAGCCACAGCATCGCAGGGCGCAGGGAGGGAAGGGAGTGCTGCAGTTGACTGTGCTTCCATTGCCATTCGCTGCTCCTTGAGTGCTGTACTGAACAGCAGACCTGGGAATCCTGAGGGTTCCTGCAAGCTGTGGTGTGTGAGCATCGCCATGGAGAAGCCCAGGTGGTCGTGATGAGGAATACCAATTCCTGCCAGAAGGAAATTGGGAAATTCAGAAGTGAAGAGCAAAGCCAAAGGCCCTCTTGTTCTTCCTCCCCCAACTCCCATCAGTTTTTGGCCAGCTGTAGGACAGCCAAAGCCCAGAAGTTCTTGCAAAGGAAGCAGCAGCCAAACTTGTAGGCACCGTGGTCGCTCACATGGGCCTTGAGCAAGGGGAGGTCAGAGCCAAGGGGAAACATGGAGGTGGGTTACAGGAGGATGGCCCTGAGCTTCTCATGTCAGCCTCCTGCAAGACCTGGGGCCGTGGCTTCACCTGAGGGGTATCCCCAGAAGCAAACCTCACTCTTGGCAATGGATGCTGAGAAGTGAAGGGGCCTTTGTAACCTCAGCTCAGCACCTGTGGGGGGAGGAAGGCTGGGAGGGCAGAGTTAAGGTGATGGAGCTCTGAGCAAGGGGCTGTCCCTGGCTGACGTCCCCTACCCACATCCTGTGCACTGTCCCTGGAAGCGCGGTGGGGAGAGAGCGGGGAGCCACGGGAGTGGGAACCCATTGCAAGAAGCAGGAACCCTGCAGAATAGTCCTGGCTTCCCTGTTGGGAGCAGCTCTGCTCCATCCTTGCCCACACCCGGCAGGGTGCCCGCAGCAGCCCGGCATCAGCTGCAGAGAGAGGGGGGGGCCCTGCTGGCGTCCTGGCAGGGACACGGAGCAGAGGAGGCAGAAAGAAGTGAATGCAAACAGCCCAGCGGGCTCTCGGGGGAGATGGGGCCAGGCTGCGAGTGTGGGGAGGAGGGGGTGCGGGGCTGAGGACCCTACAGACATGTGTGTGCTGCTCTCCCTTACGTGAGGAGCGATGTGTGCGGGGTGGATGGGTGTGCATTGCATCCCGTGCGGTACCCGGGTGCTGTGCGTTGTTCTCGGGGTGGATGCAATGATTGCCATGAGCTCATTAGGCGAATATTGTTTGCTAATCGGTGCCATAGCAATGGTGAGGCAGTTCTTCTCACCACCACCTGATCCCTCCGCCTCGGCCGCCGCTCGCTCTGCAAACCCTGAGCCCATCTGCTGAGCCGTGCCGCGGGCTGGAGCTGGCCCAGGTGCCCATGCCCATCACCTGGGCTTCATCGTGCTGGGAGGAAGCTGCCCCAGGGGCCAGGAGTGGGGCAGGGAGCCAGTACCGAGGGATGAAGGGCGGAGGGGATGGAGGGAGGATGCTGCAGGCAGGAGAGCACATGCAGGAATGGAGTGTGGGGTGGGAGATGTGCGGCTTTCAGAGCCGGGAGAGAACTGTTAACAGAGTGGATTTTTTTCAAGGCAGAGTTTAATGGGAGAATTTGAAATCGGAGAATGGGCGAGAGGTTCCGATGAATCTGACCCCCAAAAGAGATCGTTGTCTCGTGGTGAGCAGTGTGTCAAAGCAGCACTTGCGTGCTCTGGTTGCCCTTTCCTTTCACTTTCTCTCTCCTCCCCAAACTTTACTCCGGGTGAATTTTACAACGGCTCACAGGGGGACGGTGATGCTGTTGGAGCTGCCTGGGACAGGATCTCCACTCCTGGGTGATGCATGCACAGCGCAGCCCGCCTCACCCCGCAGCAGGCAGGGCTGCGCCTTCGGCCCCGCCGCTCCCGTCCCACCCAGCGCTACGCCTGCCCATCTCTCCCCTTCCTACGCTCACTCCCATCTCTCCATTTCTCCTTTATGAAATATGCATGGAGAACAGATGTCGCCTTCTCCCGGAGCACCCCCACCCTCCTCCCTCCCTCCTCCCAACCCACCACCTCCATCCACCCTCCAGGACCACATCCAACCTCCACCTCCCTCCTCTCCCGGGGGCTCCAACCTCCCCCACAGCCAATGGCATCCCCTCTCTTGGCTTTAATATTTATGAGGGGGGGAGCAGCGAAGCGGCCAATGAGGCAGCTGGGGTCGGACCCGGTGTGCGAGGCCGGGGTGCATATATAGCGCGTGGGGCACATGCCTCCTTGGTGTCCATCTCCCCGCACGGTCCTTGAGCTCCTGCCCCATTCGTGGCATGCTCGGGCCCCAAGGATCCTGGGGCTCATCCCACAGAGCGGGTCGCCAACTTTCTGCCTCCTCCATGGACGGATGAGCGAGCGGTTCCTGGATTACTTTGAGCTTCAGGAAGAGGAAAGCTGGAGCCTGGGAATGGTCGTCAACTCAGGGGTAAGGCGGCTTTGCTGGGGTGGGACGGTGATGCGATGCTGTGGGGTTGTCGGGTGGTAAAAGAGGGGCAGGAGAGGGATTTCTGAGCAGAAAGAAGGAAAGGAGCATCCGCTCAAACGGCCTCAGAGTGGATCTGGTGGGGAGTGCTCAGAAATGGTCACACTGCTGGAATGGAGGACAAGGAAAAGGATGAGGTTTGGAAGCGTTGCTTCTCTTGGGGCATCACCAGAGCTCTGCTGGAGGTAGGACTGAGACAAGTGTGGGTTCAAGGGGAGTTCTTGCTGCAGATGGATTTAGGAGGAGACAGCTTATGGCTCATCTAGAGCAGGGAGCAGCTCAGAGTACAAGGCACCCATGCAAAGAGCTTATTGAGGGGGGACCAACCCTGCAAAGAAGGAGCAAGGCTGAGCAGGACTGGGGGTGCAGCACTGGAACTTGCCTTTGTGCAAGTAGTGCGGTGTCCACTGCCAACATCCTCCTGAGAGCAGGGAGAGAGGCCCCGTGCAGAACTCATCGCTGACACTACAACTTACATGCGAGGATGCAGAGGCAGCACCACCCTGCATCCCACAGCCCTCTGCACACCATGGCACAGGAGTGCCACTTGACAGGGGTGACAGCATCCAAGGAGGCAGCCCAGCCATCTGCTTTCTCTCACCCCGCACCGATAGGTCCAGGCAGTGGATGGGAGCGATGCTCCAAGGCAGAGCCACCAGCAGGAGGGATGGGGTGAGAGGATGGTGGGATGAGAGGAACACGGAGCTGGAGAAGGTGAAAGGAACGCAGGAGGTGAAAGGAACTGCTGTCCCTATGGCTGTTTCAGGAACTTCAGGTGCACAGCTCCGTGCTTCTCCCATTGCCTGGAACACGACTGGTCTGTATCTGTGCTGAGAGTGAGCAGAGCACATCAAACACAGAGCTCAGCTCAGGCTTCCCCCAAGGATGCAGTCCATTATTATGGGTTTATTGGACACTCGGAGCCCTAAGGTCACTTCCCAAGAGTTGCCTTTCTATCAGCACATACCTAAAGCAGCTCCTTCCCTCTTCTCCAGGCCAAGGACTTTGCAGGAACAACTTTTTGTTCAGCATTTGGTGCTTTACCTCTACTGCCTCACTGGTTTGTGTTCTAGGAAAAAGTCCAGGTAATTTATTTTAGCAAAATCTGAATATCTCAGTGCAAGGGAGGGCATGTGCAGGAGTGAGCAGAGACCTGGTGGGTTGAGATATGAACAAGGGTGGGAAATAATGGACATAATTGCATGTGAGATTGGTGGAGACTGTATGCATGCATGTGCTTCTGCAAGAGCACATCAAGCGCTCTGTCCATCACCCGTCCTTCAGAATGGGACGTGGGCTATTTCTCCCCAGCCATCACCTGTCTGTATTCGTTTGGTTTCCATTTCTCAGTCATATGGCTCATTACAAGCTTGTCAGGCCAGAGAGATGTAATATGTTGTACATCTCCACCTGGCTCTCTTCCCAGTCCGGCCGCTGTCTCTTTGCTCAGCAGCATTTCCCCTTCCAAAGTTCATTCCCCATCCCCTGCCCAGGATCACTGTCCCCATAGCCATCCCCAGGCTGTGGGCACCTGTGCAGGTCCCTGCTCGCAGCACCAAGAGCCCGGGGCCAGGAGCCCTCAGGGAGCACGCAGCCAGCTCCTATTTGGACATATCAAGCAAAGCAGCTGTGTTGGGTTCCATATGTCTGGGGTGCCAGGATCCATGACATACGGGCTCATTTAGTATACAATTGAGCCCCCCTTCCCCTCACCCCCGCAGTCTGTTTTTCCCCTTCACTCATCCACCACCTGTCATCCCTCCGGAGAGCCGGGAGGAGCAGCTTCCACCTTCTCCCAGAGCCACTCTGAAGCTCTGTCTCAACCACTGGAGCCAATCCCCTTCCTCTTTTCCCCTTTTCCCTTTCTCCTTTTCCCCATCCCCTTTCCCCATCCCTTTTCCCCTTTCCCCCTTTCCCTTTCCCCCTTTCCCTTTCCCCCTTTCCCCTTTTCCCCTTTCCCCATCCCCTTCCCCGTCCCTGTCCCAGCCTTATCCCCATTCCCCAGCCACCACCATGGAGCAGAGAGGGGCACAACTTTGTCCATGCTTCCCCCCTCCCAACCCTGAGCCCCTCTCTCTGTTTTGCAGCTCGGTTCTGACACCTGACAGCCCCCGGCCCGGTTCAGTTGCTGGAGAGCTGCTGATGTTTGTATTTTTGTTGTATTTTTATGCATCCTGTCTTTCTCTCAGTTTATTGCCATCGCCCCTCCAGCAAGAAAAAGGGAAACAATCTGAAGTCGTGCAGAGACGCCGTGTGATGAGGAGGAGGAGGAGGAGAGCCAGCGGGGCTGTGCTGTGAGCCGGAGGTCCTGTCCCAGTGGATTCGCTTCACCTGGCTCCGTCCTCAGCTCAGCATCTGTCCGCCTGTCCGTCCGTCCACCCACCCGCACCCACCATGCTCAACTCAGAGCAGACAGAGCTCGACCTCCCGCCCGCTCACTCCGAGCCCGAATCCGTCTTCAGCGACTGCGGCCGCATGGGCAGCGCGGAGGAGTCCGGCGTTGCGTTGTGCCCTCAGCCCCGCGGGGCTGAGCAGGGGGAGGCGGTGAAGAAGGACCTGCAGCACCTGAGCAGGGAGGAACGGCGACGGCGGCGACGAGCCACGGCCAAATACCGAACGGCCCACGCCACGAGGGAGCGCATCCGCGTGGAAGCCTTCAACATGGCCTTCGCCGAGCTGCGCAAGCTGCTGCCCACGCTGCCGCCCGACAAGAAGCTCTCCAAGATCGAGATCCTCCGCCTGGCCATCTGCTACATCTCCTACCTGAACCACGTGTTGGATGTCTGAGCTTCTCAGCTTGTGTCTGTTTGTCTGTCCGGCCACCCATCCGTCTCCAATCCAAACATGCTGGGCCGAGGGCTTGAGTACGTCTGTCCAGATGTGACCCAACTGCGCTGCACCTGCATCTGTCTGACTGCTTGGATGGACTGAATCCCATCTGCCCACTCTGCCTCTATCCAAACTGCATCTCCCCACCACCAAGCCCACATCCATCTGTCTGTCTGTCCTGCCTGAGCCAGAGCAGGCTGTTCAGCCCATCAGACGTCTGTCTGTCCTGCTGGACCTGCTGCCTGAAGCCAGTCTGTTCCCAACGTCTGTCTGTCCTTCTGCTGCATGTCCCGCTGATAGCGCCAGCAGGATCCTGAGCCCACATCCATCCATCCCCACAGTCATGACCTGCTCCATCTTCACCCGCCTCTTTTCTACGAGCCACAAACTGCCCCCATGAGGCACCAGGTCCCATCCATCTGCCCCTCCGGCCACAGGACACCACCTGGGGACCAGAACACCTCCCCAGCACTCTGCCCTGTGCACAGAGAAGCCCCTCCAGCTCCATCCTGGTGGGGCACAGAGTGCCCAAGAGTGCTGCAGATGTAGGGCAGGATCCGGCCACACTGCACCATGGACAGCTGCACAGTGTTGAGGCCACACTGGCCTATGCTTGGCTGGAGCTGCTGTCACCTGGGGCCTGGCTGAGTCCTTCTGCTGCACACCCAACCTCCCCAAATGCCTCCCACTGTGGGAGCACCTCATCCCAGAGCTGTGCATCCTTTCCTGCACCTCCCTCAGCTCTGAGCAGAGTGAGCATGGGACCCCTGGCCCTTGACAAACCCTCTTTGCACCAACATCCCTGAGAACCCCGGAGCAATCTTCACACCCTGCCTCTTCCTCTTCCTCCCCCTTTATTTTCTAAGAATTAATTTTGCACTGGCGGTGGCAGGAGCACGAGCAGAGCTCCACAGGGACCAGGACAGAGCAGAAAGTGGCCGCTGTGCCCAAAGGCAGTGTGCTGCTCACTGCAGGGTGGGACATGGCCCAGCTCCATCCCCACCCTTGCACTGCCCACAGCTCCAGACCCCATCTCCCTGCATCCCCAGCGCTGCCCCCATCCCATGGGACGTGCTTGGGGATGTGGCATCCCCCAAGGGACATGCACAAAGCAGGGCAGCCCACCCGTCCCCTCCACTCAGCCCACTCCCCTGCGCCACGAGGATATTTATTGAATTAATTTATTGATAAATGTTATTATTTATTTGCTGTGTTGTGCACTTTTCGGAAAGGAATCTTTAGGAAGCAAACAAACAAACAGAAACGACCACGGTGGAAAGCAGCCCAACCCACCCCCGTGTGCCCCAGCGTGCGTTCATCTCGGCTGTTCGGACTGTGTGAGGATTTATTATTTATGAGTTCACAAGGAAGTCGGGGAGGGGGAAATGAATTAAACTGCCAGCAAAAGAGATCCTGAACTCGGAGTGCCCGCTTCCCTTCTTCTTTCCTTTTAACTTTCTTTCTGACCACCTCCTCCCAGCAGCCGCGGGGTTCTGGAAGCGGTGGTGGCAACGTGATGAGCATCCCCCCCAGTGTCAGAAGAGAGATGGGGACATCTGCTCCAGGCACCAGCATCCCCAACTGAGCCCCCTTCGCTCTCCCTGAGCGATCAGCACAACCTCAGCTCCATAGCCAACATCACTTCCCTGAACCCCTCTGTTCCCTCTCCACGTCCCCTGCCCTGTCCCCACGAGCCCCCGGTGCCCTCCTGCTCCCTCAGCCCACCCCGTGTGATGTGGGGAAGCAAGTTTGCGGCTCCTTTGTCTGCGCTGCTCCCGAGCATCCCCCGGGGGGCAGGCTGCAGCTGTTCGTCGACTTGCTCCAAATTTCTTCATATAATCAATTGGCCTCGGCAGCCGCTCGGCTCAACGGAGATGCGTCAAAGGGGAAATAATAAAGATGGGGAGGGAGCAGGGGAAGGAGGCAGGGAAAGAGGGGGAGCCGGGGGCAGCTGATGGAGATCGGAGGTGCCCCCAGCACTCCCAACCTGCCCCACTCACCGGACACATCCCCATCCCATCCCTCCCCACCAGCATGGAGGTGGGGATGAAGTAAGGGGAGCTCGAGCCCCTGCGTGGCTCCCAGACCTCTGTTGTCCCCGGCTGCCAGCCCCGGCCCTGACATATGGTCCTCATTGTGCCACGCACAATGGCAGCACTTCATGCTCATTCACTCTCCTCCCGGCCTCACTGTCGCCTCAGACAGATCGGGTCCCTCATCCACTCTTTGTGCTCAGGGTCTCTACTCCCTGGGTGCTTCCCTGCTCTGTCTCTGTTCCCACTGCTGCTTCCTGCTCTCTCCATGCACGTATCCATCTCTTTGTACTCTCCAGGTGATACTGAGTGCACAGGTGGATGTTTGCACAGGGAAGCCTTCACCCAACAATTTGAAAAGGAACCATGCAAAATAGCCCCAAACATGCCAAAAAGGGGACTTGCATGAAACCACCTCCCTGCTGCTCTCTGTCCCCCAAGAGAAGCGGTGCAGGAGGGCACAACCGACTTTGGGAAGGGGGAAGCAATCCCTTCGTCTCAGCCTGCCAGGGCCTGGCGTGCCCCCAGCAGGTGGCCTTGACCCCAGGGATGTCACCACAGGCAGCAGCTGAATCCCCATCTCCTCTACGTGAGGCGGCAGTGCCATCTGCTGGGTCCCCATGACAGGGTCCTATAGGCTGACGCCGGCTGCTGGCACCCCAGGCTGGGTGGTGAGAAGGGGAGGGGGGGGGGGTCCATCCTGGGGGATGTTCCCAAAGCTGCCCCAGCGCTCGCAGCAGCCAGCAATGCCCTCGGGGTCCGCAGAGGGGCAATGCTGGACCTGAAGGGATGATGCTGGGATGAACAGAGAGCAGAACCCCTTTCTTTCAGAGCAGGGAAAACCATCTGGGGCCTCGCGCCGGTGCGGTGATAACATTGGCAGAGATGAGAGATGATGACATCAGCAGAGGTGAGCGATGATGATGATGATGACATCGGCGCAGATCAGGGATCCAGGGGAGGGGGTGCACAGCTGCTCAGCACCGGGTGTCCCCAGGTTTAGTTGCAGCTGTGGGGCTGCAGTCAGGAGGGCAATCCGGACTGTGCTGCCCCAGGGGTTTGCAGACAAACATCAGTGCGGTGGGATGGGGGGGGGAGGGGGAAGATGGTGTGGATTTCTGATCCAGCCTGTGGCAGGGATGCTGCTTTCCAGGACACTCAGACTTCCTGAGCTGTTTGTTTGTGGTCCTCTCTTTGTCCCCATAGAGCAACAAATGCAGCTGTGACACAGGTAGGGTCCTGGGGCCAAACCTGCCGGGGTGCAGCCTTTGGGGTGGTGGCGAAGAGAGGGGTTTTCAGGCGCCCTCCCTGTAACACAAGGTGGGGAATAAAGGCTCTTTGGAGGAGATTTCCAGGATGAGACATCACAGAGCTGGTGCTGGGGACGCCACTGTCCCCAAGAGATGTGTGCTACACTGCTGAGCCCCAGTGCCATAACCTGCCTGACGTGGGATTTAAGAGAGGGGACAGACCCTGTAAATCACCAGGTGGAACAATGTGGCCCTTCCCAGATGGCAAGGAGGCTCCTGCACCCCCAGCTGGCCAGGAATGAGCTCCCAGGGCCCATTAATCACTCCTGGAGCAGGAGGACAGCCCGGGGCAGCTGGCTGCAGGGGGAAGGGAGGGGAGAACAGTGAGGCACCCATCCCATAGCAAGCCCTAAAGCCCCAATCCAGCCACTGAGCCACGTATAAGGGTGACAGTAAACCCCCCCCCCCCCCCCCCCCCCCCTTTCCCCAGCTCTGAGCCAGGAGGCTCGAACGAGCTGGGATCCATCTCCAGGAGTGCTGCTGGATGCAGCATCGCTATTATACAACACAGACAGAATTATCCCCAGCAACCCCAGAGGACGGGCACTGTGTCACCCAAAGATAAAAAAAAAAACAAAACCAAAACGCAGGGCTGGTTTCTCCTGGATGAGAGATGGAAGGAGGGACAAACGGTGCGGCTGAAGGATCCCCCAGCTGCCCTTTCCATCCTCCTCCCCGCTCCCAGCCATGTGCTCTGGAGGGCTGCGGGGAAGAAACGCTGCCAGGCACCACCTGCCCAACGCTTCTACGGTAGTGGCATGGAAAAGGGGGGGGGAGGGGGGGGGGGGGGGCGAGTGACCACGAAGGCCCCCAGCCTATAACCAGCACAGCATCCGGGTGGAAAAAAGAAAAAAGAAAAAAAAAAATCCCCAAACTCATCTCCTAACGCCTCTTCCCTCCCCTTTAAGGCCAAACAAGCCATTTAAATCGCGCCAATGGTGTGCACCGGGAGGGCAGCGCGGCTCTCCATTGGGCGGCGTGGGGGGGGCGGCCCGGCCCCCTCCCATCCCAGTTTCCCATTGATATAAAGGGCCGTGCTCCCAGGGCGGCTGTTCCAGGCAGCGGGCGTGCCCCCCACCGCGGTATCCTTGCTGTATGCATTTTTTTTTGGGGGGGGTCCCCCCCTTTGCTCACCCCCCACTTTAAGCTCAGAGCCTGGTAATTGTCCTCCAGTAGGACCTGGGTTTGCAGGAGGTTCCGCAGGAGTGTACCCAGCCCATTTTGGGGGGGGAGGAGGGGGCGCATTTGCAGCTAATAGAGGATTTGGGGCACCCCCGATGCACCAATAGATGGGGGGAGCAGAGCTTGCTGCTTTCCTACCTCGTTTCTTGGGGTTGGAGGGGCGGAGCTGCTGCTGAGTGCTTGTTCCGAGTGCTTGTTCCTCGTTGCCCCCCTGGGGACCCCAAATCCTGGAGTGAGGGCTCTGCAGGGCTCAGCCTGCTCTTTCCTCGTTGGTTGCCTGCATTCCTTCTCCCAGAGGGTGGGGTTTGCCTGTACGTGCTTCCCCCTGTAGCCCTATCCGTTCCCTGCGGAGTTCAGCTGAGTAACCTCCTCGTTCCTGGGGCTTCCAGGTGCTCTCGCTCAGCTCAGAGCTGGGCCCTGCACCAGCGCCTTCAGCTGGGATGCTCTGCTCTGGTTATGATGGACGTGGATTGAGCCGGGCAGCCCTGGTCACCGTGCTGCATGCAGCTTTCATAGGGGCAGACTTATGGGGAGGCCACGCGAAGCTATTTGTTCACGCTCCAACCCCAAAAGCACCCAGAGCTGGGCAAAAAAAGCTGGGAGTGGGAAGCACAACCCAAGACCCCTCCAGGTCGCCTCCCAACGGACAAAAATCTTGTCCCTGTGCAAAGGAACTCCGCTCATCCAAGGTCTCCGCTGGGGCGGATGGGAGCCCCCGCGGGTGGGGAGCGGCGCCGGGGCCTCCCCATGTCCACACCCATTGCGAGCAACACCCCCTGGGGGGGGCGGATACCCCCCCCTAGCCGCGCCGTCCCCTCGGAGCCGGGGTTGGGAGCCCCGGGGCCGCATCAGACAATGACTCCCCCCGTCGTGCTGAGCCCCGGAGGGGCGCCGGGAGCGCCGCGCGGAGACAATGGGCGGTGCGCATTATGGGGGGGGGGGGAGCGGCCGGGAACAGCGTCGGCGCGGGCGGGGGCTGCGGGGCGGTGCGGGGCCGCCGGCGGGGCGGGAGCTGCCGGCCCGGGGCGCGGTGGGGCCGGAGAGTGCGGAGCTGCGGGACCGCTCCGCCGGGATCTGGGGTTTCCTCCGCCTTCTTCTCCTCCTTCTCCTCCTCCTTCCTCCTCCGCCTCCTCCGCCGCAGCCCCGGGATCCCGCGGCTCTCGGTGCGGGGGGGACGCTCACAAAGGTGCGGGGCGCGGTGAGTGCGGAGCGTGGGGCGGGGGCCGGGTGGGGGCGGCGGGGCCGGGGCTCAGCGGTGCGCTGGAGGGGTTGGGGGGTGGGGGATACGGAGACTTCCGTGGGCCGCGGCCCGGCGGGGGGAAGCGCTGCGGGGCGGGGAGGGGACGCGGGGGGCAGCGCGGGGGATGCTCGGGCCCAGCCGGACCGGCGTTAGGTTTTGCCGTGCAGTGATTGCGGATCTCAACCCTCCGTGCCTGAGCTCTTTGTGTTTCCTCTGAGCAAAGCGGGGCACGGGGGTGGGCACGGGGCTGGGGTCGGGATAGGGAGGGGAACGGTGAGGTAGGGGCTGCCCGGTACCGCTCACCTGCTGGGACAGCCCCGTTCGGGCCGGGCTCGGTCTGTCCCGATGCTGTGAGCTCCGCGTCCCGTGTGGAGCTGCGATCTCTGGGAGCAAGGAGCTGAACCCTCCACACCCCCCCCCCGCCAGGCCGTGTTGTAATCACCGAGGCGGAGGCTTGGGGAGAAAAATAATAACTAGAGAGAATAATTAAATATTATCTTCACGGGGTCCCTGGGGACGGCTGTTACTTAATCACAGCGGTTGGGATTGTGTTGGGACCGAGCCGGCCTCGGGGGCAGCCCCAGCGCGATGCGATCTGCACACAACCCGGTGTTGCCTTTGTGCTGGGGGAGTGCTGGGTCG